TTCAACTAAGTGCTTTCAGAGGCGCACTCGCCTCTCCCCGCGAATAGCTTGGCTCCCACCCCAGAGAAGTCTCTCTACCAACTGTAATTGTACGTAAACGATGACTCATGTTCAGAAATGGCTATGACGTAACGATCGTGAAATAATATGCCACATTTATGAATTAGAAATTGTTTATAATGCTGGTATACAAAAAAATATTTTGTCATTCGGTTATCGTTCATTATGATTATTGCCAGCTTGCAACCATACCCTATCCACATAAAAAGAATTCAAACTGAGTCGACTGGTATGTCGAGCGGTAGCGCTACCATTTCAGAATTCCATTGCGCATTCCATTTGAGAATCGAAAGAATGTCATCTTGTTCGACGTGATAATAACTGATCCAAACAAAAACAACCCGAATTGTCGCCGGCCACAAGTCGAGATGCTGACCAAACTGGGTAAAAACCAGGCCGAATGTTGCATGATCGGCAGTTGCTTACCTGATGTGCACGATGAAAAGTACTGCAAATTGAACAACTTATCATATGCGGTAACGCTTTAGTAATCAGTTCTGGGAACCCTCTTCGTCGCATTGGAGCCCGTTTCGACGGTTCTATACCGGACATGAATAAGCTAGATATTGTCGAACTGTCAAATCTAGGCGAACAGTTAAATACACACTTAAACTTCCTTGAATTGCAATTGGGTATGACCTGATGGCAGTTCATTACAACGACATTAATAGTAATAATTAAGCTTATATAGGCACGAAAAACTGTAGAAATAGGCTGACGCAAAAAAACGTAAAATAGACATTTAAATTGGCACTATAATTTTTTCTTATCCTTATTTATGCACTTGGGAAGCAAGTTTCTGAAGGTAACGTAATATAGTTACCTTCATAAAATGTTTAACCATTATTCTGACAAATGCTCGTAGGAATCCTTTCTATCATTGTCAGGGACATTGGGATAAAAAAGACAGAATCGCAGTAGTTACCTTTTAGTTTTTCATTAAATGCTGATCTTTTTTTCTCACCTTTAATTTAAAGGTAATTGAAAACATTTTTTGATTTGTTTCAATTCCCTTGCATAGTACAAATGTAAGTAGTGGCGCAAAAACAGCACGTGCTTTCTCGCATTATTTCTAAAAATAGTTCAAATATTTTCTTTTTTCAAAGATTTTAACGAAAATGAGACTTGCTCCATTCTTGTAAGTATCGTTTGTTGTATTCGTAGAAAAAATTAAGAAAATTGTAGTGGTTGTTGAGAATGATTTTTATAATTTGCAATATTTTCAAGCAGAAATTACGAATTTTTTTTAAATTATGCAACACCTCTTTTTAAGATCTGTTTTTTGAACAGATTTAATTTAAGATAAAAATCTGTGTATTCAATTGTGTACTTTTGCAATGTTAACTCTTTGCAATATTCGAAAATACAGAGTTCGAAAAAAAATGGGGCCGGAACCGTTTTTTACACCGTCCTTTAAAAGATTCACGGGGGAAATTTTAAGAAAAAAATTGAATCGTTTCATGGAATCGCTTTATGAAGAAAAAAAAGTTAAATAATTTGACGTAAATAACTCTATTACCATCAGTGATTTTGCACGTGTTTCGTAATACACTGTGGTAGCAATAAAACGTAATCGATAGTTGTTCAATTTCTCTGTACTCTGCAAGAAAAAAACGAAACTAGTGGTATTACAGAATGGCACAGACTATCCCGTATTAGTTTTCTAATTCCTTTGATCTGGACTTGCTATTTTGACATGCCAAATACTCTTGCCAGCTTCTATCACTGCCCAAAGTACATTTTAAAAGTTTCTTAATTTTCCGGTTTCCTAATAGTAGAATGGAAATACTATTTTAAGAATATTAGAGAACAGTTAAACCTTGTTCTACATGGCAATTTTCTTTGAAAAATTTGGAGCAACATTTTTTACGGAAATGGCGCTTCAGCACTACAGTAAATTCGAAATTTAAAGCACTTTTTCTCAGATAATTTTTAAGTTGTCGAAAAACTTTATTTGAAGTCTTCTGGGGAGAGGGGGGGAGGCATGTTACCTACCTGAATTTACCAGTCAAAGGAAGGGAGTGAAAGATGACACCTCCAATTTTTATTCCTATGCCTGAACATTTCCTATATCAGTTATGTCGGGCTTGTTCTAGGAGAATTGATCAAAATAGTAGATAACCCACATCCTTGTTTTTTACCTTTGTTTATCAGAAAGCTTGCAGTTTATTTATCTCCAAATTTTAATTTGCGCTCGGTGTTATCACTTATTTACGTAATAAATATTAACTTCAAGTTATTAAATAAAAATACTTTTATTCGTAATAATGAAAAATTATTTGTAAGAGAACATGGAGACGGCTGGGTAATACCTTTACCTATAACCCCCCTCTCCCCCCCGACGAGGAAAATCCTGGACAAGCTTAGATATGCCTCTGCGCGTATACGTATTGCATAATACATCGTAAACAAAGTGCACAATAACACAATGCAAAATTGAAACTCGTTTGAAAGAAAAAAATCGTAAGATATTTTTGCGAAACCGTCACATTTTAATTCGAGAGCTTTAATTGATGGATAAAGTTAACAAGGTATTTTGTCGAAATGAAGGTTTTTAAAATCTTAACTGGTATTTGTGTTCGGTTGACTGACTCAGAGAGAGTCGAGAGAGAGAGCTGACAGCTGACTCAGTGACACAACTCAAAATATTGGTATCGCTCATGGTGAAAATACACCAGCCAACCCGCGATCAAGACGTGATTCAAGAGCGTTTGGGAGCAGATCGGAAGGGCGCAAGATGTGTTGAGGTGGGTCAGGTTGTGAGGTGTCATGATGTTTTGCTGAGTCGCTGCCGTCCAATAACCTAAGAGTTTTTCATTATTTCGTTTGTGTTAAGTGACATAAGTTTTAATTCGTTAAAAAAGAAGATATTCGAATTCCATTGAACATTAGCGTATCTTTCACACATTCGAATTGCTTTGTCAAAATGAATAGTGATTTGAGAGCAGAAGATATTCTGGTGCAAGTCAGAGAAAAACTTAATAGTGATCAGGTGAAATTGTGGTTACCTCCGTATTACACGGAAGGAAGTGGACGATGTGAAGAAGAAATTGAGGTAGGTGATATATTTGTATTCGTTGATCGTGGGCAAAATGGCTAAAAAGAGAAGACTTCCAATATTGTTTCTTGTCAGTTTTGAAATGTGATGCAATATTAGTGTGTGCTCCTTTTGAGTAACAAATACAATTATTCATTTTAGTTTCTATTCTGTATAATGCATTGCACTGAAATAATAACTCTTTTGTAAACTGACACTTGACCTGTCAAAGTCATTTTTCAGTGGCCCAAAGACAAAAAAGTTATTTAAATACAATTTCTGCCTTTACAGAAACTCTCAAGATCATACAGTCAGTCTTTAAATTTGGATTTGTCAAGTTGTCTTACAGCTATACAGAGTCTGCAGAGTCGAGCTCTTGAACGATTACAAGAAAGGAATCATTATAGGGACACAGGGTTAGCAACTGTGAAGGTTCGTGTGCCAAATCAACTTCATCAGAGGAACCAGTTGTCTATCCAAATGAGATTAACTTGCCTGGCAAAGGATTTGCAGGAAGCTGTTGCACGAGAAATTAACGATACTTCTGCAAGGTTATTTTTGTCTTGTGTACTCAGATCTTTGTTGTGTCTTGTCAAAAAATGTTTATCTGAAGAATTCTTATTATTGCTTATTCTTTTAATGTAGAGTGAAGCTTATTTCAAATGGCCGAGTTTTAGATTATGAAGTTTCGTTAAGTACTCAAGGAGTAAGGCATGGAACCCAACTGATGGCTATTATTCTTAATGAAGATCCAAGTGAGGTGGAGGTAATAAATAAGTCTATTACACAGGCCTGCAATGAAAGACCTTTTTTGAAGATTTCAACAGTCCCTTATGTATTTTTGGGTGCTGAAATCTAAAATGTAAATAGAAATGCTCCCTCAGTTTTTTCACATATTGGCATTGATTTTTCAGTAGGTCTCTGGCAGTTTTCTGTGTTTAGCATACAGTTCTGTGGCCCCTGTCATTACAATGGTTCCCAAGAACTAGTTTCGATTCAGAAAATTAGAATATTTTCAGGGGAGGTCTTGTTGATAGAAAGAAAATACTGCTACTTCCTGAGCATACGGAATTAAGACTCGTGGAACAATTTAAGCTCTGCCAAAAAATTGGGAGGTGCTTTAAACATCTTTGTTGGAAGTTCCCACACCTCTCGGAAGCCAAGATAAAGAAATATATTTTCATTGTATCAGACTTAAGAAGAATTACGTTGGATGAATTTACCACCACAATGACAGCTGTTGATAAAAGAGCTTGGATTTCCTTTGAAAGAGTGGTTAAGAACTTCCTAGGAAACAATAAAGATCCGGATCTCGCAATCATTGTTAAAAGTATGCCTTAGAACAAAGATTTAGGATATTTTATGAGCGTGAAGATTTACTTTCTACAAGCATATTTTGATTTCTCTCCTGAAAATTTTGGTGCAATGAGCAAGGAACAAGGAAAATGTTTTTACCAAGAATTTAAATTTTCCATAAACGAGATGGAAAAGGGATACCAGGGTCGATGGAATGTAAACATGATGAGCAACTAATGCGCAACTAATACTCTACCGAGACACCCCCACGTACCATAAGTGGAAGAGCAATACTTACAGCTTCACACAGAAAAGAAAAAATATATTACAAGATACTTTACTAAAGTTTTTATAAATATGTAATGGTCGTTTAGCAAAATTTGAGACTAATATTTGCAAGAAATCATATTTTATTACTTCATATGCCCCAAATAAAGATGATAATGTAAAATATGGTTAGCAAAATCCCTTCATAGTGCATTGTGAAAAAATTGTATTTGATTGGGTAAAAACGCGTTCAGTTATAAAATCAGCACTCCAAATGTTTCATATTAAGTTAAGCATGACTCTTAAACATGCAGGCCTGTGTTATTACAAATAAAATTTTCAAAAGTTGTATTAAAATTTATTCATAATTTTTCTAAAAATATTTAGGGAGCGGAATCTAATCATCGTACTTTGGAAAGCACAAAAGCTGCAGCCTTTCTTTTGGCACGTTCCAGTACTGAGGAGTCATCATTAGGTGATGAGTATTACAGTCTTCAGGTAAAAATAAGTGGATGATGTATTTATTTCCCACATTATGAACATGTTTTTATATTATGATATTTTTAAAAGATTGCTGATCAAACTGGGAAAAAACTGTACTTGCCTACTGAAGAGAAACGAGCTTTAATTGTTGCCATGTCATTGCATGAAAAAGGAAGAGTAGCTTTGAAGGCAGAAAACTATGCTCTTGCTTTGCTGCTTTTCCTAGAAGCAGACAAAGAATTTAGGTAATTGATTTTTGCGTTTAATCATCTTTGATGCGATTATACATTTTTTAATTTTTATGAAGCGTCAAAACTTTCATAATGAAATTTTTATATTGTATTATATTATATTTATAATATTGTATTTATTCTATTTATTCCAGTATTTGTAACTCCAGCATCTTGCAATCAGTAGACAATTATGCTCTGCTGAATCTGGACATTGCATGGTGCTATCTCTGTTTACGCAGTGTTACATATCTTCCTGATGCAGAACAGAGACTGAAGAAGTGTGAACAGAGTTTTGAGCGTAGTTATGGACCAAACCTGGAACGTGTTCTTGCTTTAAAAGGAAATACAGGTGAACAACACTAAATTGAATAGTGTTAACTGTCTCATTTACCAGAATCTATATAAAAATCTGGTAGAATTATAAAATCTAAGGGAAAGCTGGAAAATAATGTGCATTTTGTTTGTTTAGGTAATGAAGCAGCTCTTTTTATGAGGCTTCATCTATTGCAAGCTATTGTTCTTTTCCACCAAAACAAACGGCAAGAAGCAGCACGTTTATTTTCACTTGTGGAAACAGAACTTGGCAATCTAAAAGTAGATGATGGTTGCCTCTGCCAGTTGATGGAACTAGGTAAGCTAAGATTCTGTTTCTTGCATTGCTCTATATTGTTAATAACATGTGCTTTTTGTTATTGTGAAATTCAAATCAACAGTGACCAGAAAAATTGCACATCATATCTTGGTGTCTATTTTTGTGAAAGCTGAACACCACACAATCAATAAACACTTCGGAAATAAAAAATAGATACCTAGTCAATACTCATCTTTTTTATTCAGTGTATTTCCGGTATCAACCTCTCTAACAACTACTTGAAAATGGTTCCTAATCCATCCTTCCGTCTCATTGTTGCTGCCTCATAAAAGTGAAAAGCTAATTAACAAGGTGGCCACATTAACAGCACTCCTAGAAAATACTATTTCTCTGTCTCTGGCACATTTTTTAAATGAATTTCATTCAATTAATTTTATTTGCATTTCATGCAATATTTACTCTGAAGTAATTTTTATAAAATTGTCAATTCTTACCACTTTTTTCTTGTACTTGAACGTGAATATGAATACTATGGTCATCAATAAGTACATAAGTCAAGCTTTTTTCTCAAAAATTCAAGATTCAAAATTTTCTGTTTGATGCACTGTTTTTCATGGGCCAAGAGCTGAACAATCTGAGAAACTATAGACATCTGTGCCATTTGACATTACATTTTGGAATCTAAGAAACCTTTTTGTATAAATTAATAGTTCATTTTTTGTTATGAATATTTTGATTAGTACATTGCTGACGTTCTACTTAAATAGTAACAGTTGTACATCGTAAATTTCTTATTGCTTGATACTGAGACCTTACTTTTCCTGAATAAATTTCTGAAAATGGTAACTTTGTTCTCTTGTTTTCCTAGAAGAGTATAGTATTATGCCTTGGTCAAAAATCAGACATGTGGTGTATTTGATGTTTGCTGTTGTACCATTGTAAAAAATAATCTAACCCTGCTTGTCATTTCTTATGTTCTGGCTCAGCTTTCTGAAAAATAATTAAAAAGCTCATACTCATTCTCATGAGGATAAATAATTGGTTTACAAACTACAAGTGTGAAAAGAGTGATAAATTTGACCAATTCCATTGCAATTTTTCCATCTAAAAGCTTGTACCATAGCTGGAGATAACTGTCAGAGCAGCTTACAAGCTAACTAAACCGTAACTTATGGACATCTTTCCGTGGATGAGGGGTGAATATTCAACAAAAATAAGCAAATGCACCCCAAATATGAAAAAATATTCAATTATGGTGATATATGCAAAATAAAAATAGTTTAAATTAATTCTAAATGCCTCAAAACGTAAACTGTTTGTTGAAACAGGAATTTTAGTTAACAGAAAAGAAATTATGAATATAAATTGCAACCCTACTCATTACGTTATATAGTTCAGTAAGGTTTTTATTTCTGAATTTTAAAATTAGAGTAGGCAAGTTTTGAAAACAACTTAGAGGGATAAGGTATATTTTGGGAAACAAAAATCTGAAGTTAAATTTTGAATTATAAGACTTCAAATCAAAAGTTATTCATTCTTAAAGAAGATATTTAATTGCATTATTAGTAAAAATGTGTTACTAAAACAACACATACTTTCTCACTCTTAATAATTCTTACACAATTCTATTTATACAACAATTTCTCTCCCAATTAACACATCTGTCATTTTTTGTAATCTTTAAGGGACAGTTTTTCTTCATCTTCAATCTTTTAGTTGTAGAATGAAGACAAACAAATTTTGAACTTCTGCAATTTTCAAAAAATCAGGGTTTTCAACGAACATAAGACCTCCCATTCTCTTAAATGTCCTTCACACTATCCATTAACAAAGTTAAATCAAAAACGTTGGAGCCCCTTTTTTTAATTTAGAAAATGTCCCAGGGGGTTCGTGTAAAGTAACCGCCAAAATTAAAATTTCTGTTTCAAATTCAAGGGGCTGTGAATCAGTCAGATCGATTGCGAAATATCAATTTCCGAGACAATCGGGAGAACGAGTGTTCACAAACAAACATTTTGCAGTAATTCGGTATCAAGGACCCACAAAACAGGGATTGTGGCTATACCACTGTTACCACTGTATACCACTGGAAGATTTCTACCTAAATTTAGTTACTTGATTTATCCACTTTTTCGTTTCACATTTTCAAAATAAATATGCCTAGAATGATATATTTTCAAAGTTTGGAAGCTCTAAGAAACTTACATAAATACATTAATTTGAATGGAATTCCTGTCTCTAGTAATTGTAAAGTATTCAAAAGCTCTTGAACACAATGAAATGGACCACTGGTTTGTGCCAACAGTCAAGAGTTGATTCATTATTCTGAACTTCATCAGCACAATTTACTCTCAGTGGGTTTACGTAGAAAGATAATTCAAACTGATTTTCCATTTATCATAAAAACATTTGAACAGAGGTTGTACACAACATTTACATCATTCTGGAATGATGTTCCCTTTGTTAATCATTTGATCAGAATATCATCCTTCAAAAAGTTGTTTCTAGTTCTATGGCTCACATCTTTCCCTTGCTTCATCATTTGATACTTGTTAAAGTTTCAGTTCCATCCCTTTTCCTTCTGTGAACAACCAAAGTTGGGCAGTAAATACTTATATTTAAAATACATTTTGTATTTGAAAAACTGTGTTTTTGAGTTTTTTGGATGTGTATTTAGGAGATATTTAAATACATAAAAATGTGTATTAAAAAAAAAAAGAAATACTTAAAATACTTCATTAAAAATAGTTTGTGGCTCTAATTTTTGCATGTACATAAATACATACATATTATATACAATTATATTCTAGTTTGTTATTGTTCAGACATTTTTATGACTCCATTATTAATTTATTGTTCTTCACAGTTACAATTTTTGTTGCAATAAAAAAGATATAATACAATTGTATTTACTGTACTGAGAGTATTTCAAGTAATTTATATACTTATTTACAAAGTATTTTGGGTATGTATTTAAATATTTATTTACAAAGTATTTAAATTCTTAATTTAAAGAATTTCCTTTTGTATTGCATGATTGTAAAAGTCAAAATATGTTAATTGTATAAAGAATTGTATTAATGTCCAGAGTTTGATTTAGATTTATTCAGTCAAAAAAACAGTAAAACTGCATGTGACTGTATGTAAAACTATATGTAGGGAGGAAAAGATTATTTGCACATGTTCCAGAATCCTTTCCTATCATTTTAACTATAACTAGTTGAAAGATTAGTAAAAGTTTAACATAAATAGATAAAAATAAATTTTTAAAATCGCAATATTTGAAAAATAGTTATTTTTCTTTCTGAGTTATAGAAAAACTTATTTGCGTCTGTACATGAATTGCAAGTATGACTTTTCTGCATTGCTAATAAAATAGCAACTCACCCTTACCTCTACTCTTACCATTACAACCAAAAGGAGAGTTCAACAAATTGTGCGCGTATTGAAGCTATATTTACGTGCAGAAGCAAAACAAGGGGCCATCTCAGCATTTGCTCAATGGACCAGGGAAACTGGACAAAAACCTGA